AATGCGGACAGTAACTAAATCAATTAATGTCAAAGGATCATTGATCAATGCAGGCCCGTAGCCCCCCCCCCCCTCCCCCTGTCCAATGAATAATATAAAAAGTCTTTTTTTGTTAATTCAAATCCCCCGTCTGTCTTTTAATTTTGGTTTCTTCTTGCAAATGCTTGGAATCGGGTGTGTTTGACTGCACAAAAACAAATATGGGCGGCCTCCACATAATTAAAAATTTTACATAACAAACGCCTTTCCTCAAAAGGGGGCACCCACGGCCTCACCGCGCACTATGAGTTTATTAAAATTGTTCAAACTAATTTGAATAAATTAAATTAAAATTGAATAAAACACATCTAACCTAACAGTTTAATTCTTCAAATTAATATTAAAGGAAGTCAGTGAGTCAATGTTATTTAAGAAAATATTATAAAATGCATGTCTTGTAATAACATTGTTTTCATATAAAAAGGAAAAGACCTCTGTAAAATTTCATATCTCACTACTAAAGAAAGATTTTTATTTTTTTTAAATTGGTTATCTTATTGAAGGTTTTAAAATTTTATCCCTTCTCTTGAAAATATTTTTTTACAAATAAATTTACTATAAATAGACCAAAGAAGTTTTTTTTTCAAAGATATCATCTGGACATAGTTCAAAATTATATGAAAAAACAAATAAATGAAATAATAATCTATGTTGAAAAAAAATCAATTTCACACCACTGCAGCCTCCCCGAGAGCGAGAACAATAGGGACAGTAATTATCAGTAAATGTCAGCACTTGTCTAAGTTTTTCAGCACCGACTAAGATTGTCAGCACTTTTCTAAGTTTATCAGTACCGGCAGTAAAAAGGTCAGTAATTGTCTAAGTTTTACAGTAACGACAGCACATTGTCAGTAATTTTCTAAGTTTGTCAGTAAAAAATGGGAATGTCAGTACGTTTTTGACTTAGTAGTGCTTTCAATCAATTTCAAAAAAATTCTTTGAAAAGTACAGAAGGTTTTATTTTTGTTTGAATCAAGTCCATTATGCTACAAATAGCAGAGCTCAAACTAAACTACATGTAAGTAGAACAACTATTATTACTATGTGAATCACGATCAACAGTGTTCAATAACAGGTCACAGGATGCAGGACCGAGGAGTCGGCAGTTTTATCAGTTAAATAGTAAAAACATTAACCTGTGAGCTACGCTAGCGTAAACAAAGTCTCGTTTTTTACACTGTTTTTCTGATAAAATTGCCTGTACCACCTCCTAATTTTTTTATATTCATTTTTTCCCCACTTGGAATATTAGATTAACTTTCAAACTTTTAATCCGTATTCGTTTACTTTTTCACATACGGGTCAGTAAAAAAAAAAATAGAATTTAATTCCCATCTTATCATGCTTATGCCATGTCTAATTTACATATGCAGTGATAAAATGTATTAAACTATATTAATTTGAACATTTATTTTGAAATTTGAAAAAAAAAATTAATTAAATAAAGTTGATAACAAATGTACATGTATTGTACATAATTTATGTTGCAGCTGAAAACAATATTTATTTCATAATTCTTACTTGATAATTACAAGCATTAAGAGAAATAATGTGGGTTTTTTACCTAACATAAAAAATTATGGGATAATAAACCCCACATTTTATTTTTAGTGAGACCTGGGTTAAAAAACCCCACGAAAAATAATATGGGTTATTTAACCCCATGAGGGAAAAAATAAACGTCATGGGGTTTTTGTGGGGTTTTTTGTTGGGAATTTTTAAGTTCATGTTTCCCCATGGGATTTTTTTTAACTCAAATATCTCAAAAACTAGCAGAAAATGTAATTTTTTTTTCATAAATCAATTTGATTATAAAACCACCACCATTTAAAAAAAAAACCCTAAGTTTTAAAGAAAAAGGGTGCGCAAGTTCGGAAAAATGTCCATTCCGAAGTTGCCCGTCCCACTGTTTATATTTTGCGTATGGTCTACGGTACTATTGTTATAATGGACAATTTGATTAGTATGAAAAATAATTTTAATGGAATAAGTAGTATTGTGAAAATACATTATACTGAAATTAAATGCATTTATATTTTATAATAATTCATTCTTAAAAAGATATTTATTATATTGTCTTCAGTTGATTTCTTTTTATATGACTTCTAACAATCAATAAAAATTAAATTTCAACAAGCATGACAACAACGACAACATATGAAGTTGAAACGACAAGAGGTATTATATAACTTTTAGTTTATATCATGAAACACATGGGAAATATATTTTCATTACATGAGTAGTAATTCCATGACCAGCAACCAAAAATAATACCTTTATTTTTCTTATAGAAGTTATATACCCTGTTTATGGTGAAGATCATGCAGTGTAGCTTCTTAATAAAGGAACAAATAGATAAACGAAATTTGAAATAAAAATACTGTTAAGGTACAAAGATAATACTCACTACAGTTTTTACAATTATAATCAAACAAGAATAAATACTAGTGGTAAATAAACTCATCGTAAGTTAAATGTTTCCAGTATTTCCGTTTTTTGGAGAGAGGGCGTCTTTTTCTTTATTTATCGTAATTTATTTTTAAGGGAAGATGTAATTAAAATACCTTAAAATTTTATAAATAAAGATATGAAGTTGGTGCAGACGGCAGTGGGGGAATCCGGAGGAGGGGTCAAAAAATTATATTCCTCCCGGTTCATGATTTTGTATTTTAGAAATGTCAAAATGTTGTGAAAATAAAATAGACCTTTTTTAAACCCTTTGTCTTTCACAACAATGAGAGGAAATCTCTCTCCGCTTGAACGCACACAATATACAGGAATCTAGCAGTTACGAAGGAGACGAAGATTAGTCCGTGCAGATACATGTACTCTGTGTTTACATATAATATATCTACCGAGGGAAAAAAGTTTACTTACCGATGCAAAATGCACATAAAATGTTTTTCAGACATTGTTTGTGGTGGAGTTTATTAATTGTTTTTCAGTAAATTCTTGTTTACACGATGTAAATACATTTAGACCCAAAATAAATTTAGAAAAGAATGAGACTTCAAAGACGACTCAGAGAATGCTGATTACATAAAAATCGTATTCTAATCCTATATTTGAAGATTAATAATTTTAAAATACCTTCATTTATAGCCCCAATGAAAGTGACACTGCGATAGATCGTTGTTTTAATCAATCCACTATTAAAGTAATTAAATAGCTAAAATTTACAAAACAGAATACGAAAATATAAATTAATATCAAATATCATGAACAGTACACTGGGTGTTTTATCGTGCATTGTCGTATAAATATATCACATACAGTAATTTATATGGAAAGTTGTGGCTCTTAATGGAATGAACTCATTAAAAGTTGTTCAAGAATTATTAAACGCTATAAAAGTATTTGAAAATTGCTTTGGCGGTTTTTATAATTATTTAGATACATGAGAGTATATTTATTAGAAAATAATTTTCGTTTTGTACTTCAAATATTTTAATATTTCAGCCTTTAAATTTCTAAAATATCATAACTGTTACTTTTTGATTTTTTTTTTAATTTCCTGTGATTTGGTTTCGTTTAATTTTTGCTTTGCTTTATTATTTCAAAGGGAGGTAACTTGCGTTTTAGACCATGCAATACTTTTTTTCATCTTTAATCGCTAAGATGCACCGCGACGGTGTGATTTACCTGGATTGATGAACCGCAGGGGCACGCAGTTTTTACACGAGACACATGTACTGTAAAGATGTCATATTGACTGTATATACTCTTTTTATATACAGTAAATATTACATTTTTAAACGTGCTAATTTCAGCGAATTTTTATTTTTATTTTGATGCGAGTATTCAGACACACCTAGAAAGACACAAAATACACAAAATACACAATCCTGTAACCAAGCGCCTATGTAACTATTGTAAATCTTCTTTGAAAGTTGGTTGGCTACCCATTTCGTAGCACAGGAAAGTGATATCCAGGAAATTAAATGTAGTATTATATGCAAAGAAAATGAAAAGGAAGGAAATTTGGAAAAATTTGGTCACTATCCCCCCCCCCCCCCCCTCCGAAATATGATTTTCGAGTTTGGGCAATTTCCTTTTTTTTTTGGTTTTTTTGCTTGTCAACTTTTATAGATAAGTAAAAAAAAATTTCTCTGGCTTCCCCTCCCTTTCAAAAACGATGCTACGTGCCTGACTTTATTTATTTCCCGGGCGACAATGGATGGTTACATAAATGTTTTCTTCTTTTATATTGTTGTCGGGGGGGGGGGGGGTACATGTACTGAACCTGCTCTCAGGTCAAATTCATGACGGGAACACCAGCTTAAATAAATCATTAGTAAAGGAATGTAACGTTGTAAACGGAGATAAAACTTAATATTTATCTACTTACTTGGTTTTCTGTAAGGTTTGTTGTCGATGATATAAATGTCGTTGTGTGGAAGTAGACCTATACAGGATCTCACGATGTCAGGTCTATTGTATTCCCCGTGTCTCCAGAGCCACGTCACGTGATCTACACTGTCCTGTGATCGTCTTCTGTAATATAAAGCCTCTTCTTTCTGTCTTAGATCCGTTAGAATTTTTTTTCTTTTATCTTTATCGTCTTTTTGTATATTTTTTGAAACATTCACTGTAAAACAAAGACGAGTATTAACTGTGCGAATTGTATTATTTGAACAAAGAAGATGAACCAAGTGTATATCTTATGTATAACTATATGAAAAGATAAATATATTTCTAATCACAAAAAAGATTAAATAAAAATATCATGCATTTTTTTTAGAAATTAAAATGATGCATTTTTGTGTATGTATGCTTTGTAGTATCAATGCAAGCTTTGCTGACTTAAAAAAATAATTTAATATTTAGGAGTTATATTATGAAAATTTTAAGTAATGCTGACATTCTCATATTTAAAAATTATCAATTTGCAGAGATCAATCTCTGATCTGAAACATTTTTTCTAAATTCTAGAAATAATTAATTTATCCACACAGACTTACATATCTGGTATATGTCATCATATATACTCGTGTCCTCCATGGTGACGTGACTCAGTACGTTCATCTGTAGACGGCGTATCAGGAAGAAATCACAGAAACTGTCACTACTAGTGACACACTTCTCTCCAGGTTTTCTGTTGTATTCCTCTGATCTCAGGTACACACTGGCTGTGTCATAACTACTGTAACAGAATGGTATACCACTGTCTACTGATGCTATCCTATACATTGTCTCGTCCTTTGTGTCCTCCGTTATCTTCTCCTGATCTCCCCAAAGGTAATCACGTGACTTCAGTTTGTCCAGAGTCTGATGTGCTTCCTCACGTGTTACAGGATTATATTTACGGTACACTTCCTGTCGTATATCATTAAGCAACTCCAGCCTCTCTGTGTCAGTGAAGTCAGGAGGACCGGAGTCAGAACACAGAAAACAGAATAACACCGACACCTCGTCATCACTCAGTTCAGAGAACTTATCTAAAAAAAATATGTAATGAAATTTTATAAGTATTATCTACTCATACGAACTGTGTAAAAATATAGTTTGATTAAAAGCCCTGAATTATTTTGTTAAAATTACTAGTTTGCGATCATTTTGTTTCTTGTGTTTTCTTTTAATCCACATTGTGTTTGTTATTTTGTAAAATACAAGAGTTCTGTTTCTAGTAATTACATTTTCAATAGATTGATTGATTATATGTTGTTTAACGCCCCTCTCGAGAATTTTTCACTCATATGGAGACGCCACCACTTGCCGGTGGAGGTCTACAAATTTTGTCATATGCTCGGCACTCAGGGCCTTTGAGCAGTGAGGAAACTTTTTCGTGCCAGCACCTACTGCGTCACGGGGCCTCGGTTTATACGGTCTCATCCAAAGGACCGATCCCCACGTTCCACAGTGGGATTCGAACCCGCAGCGTAAGGATTGACTCCTTACTTCGCGACTCTAGAGCAGACGCTCTAACCACTGCGCCACGCGGGCGACCTTTTTCAATAGAAAACAAAAAGTAGATGTGCTTTTTTTTAGATAGAAAATATAAGTATGAATCTTGACGATATTTTATTTGTAAGAATTTGTGACCTTGGTCTTTTATTATCTATACTCTAAATCAGAAGAACTATTCTTAAGCCATATCAGGGTTTTATGATTAAAAAAGAACTTTGATGTTGCACACAGAAATTCATGTCGATTTGGTTACTACAAAATACCATTTTTGAAACGCATAAGTTATATTAAATCCTTAAATTAAGAATAATTGATTTAAAATTGCCCTGGTGAGTTGATTTATAATATTTCGATAATATCTACTGTCCTTTAATCCTTAGGTTTTATTTTCATAATCTTTCGTTTTCACATACAAAGAAAACCTTGGCATTCTATCCGCAGAGCAAACTCGATCTATAAAAGCCGAATTAACGTTAATCTGTGAAACTCCCCGGAGAGATATTGGCGAGGCAATTAATGTCAGTAGTTTTGAGGGAAGGATCTTAATATTAATTGGGTTTAAAACATATATAGGTACAAAACTAATATTGTACAAGTCTTTGCAACCATTTATGTTTTTTTTTTTTTTTTTGGGGGGGGGGGGGTGTCATTTTAATTAAATACTGTAAAAAATAAATAAAAGAAAAAGAAATTTATAAAAATTATTAATTATATTAAACTTATTCGTCAGCAGAAATAAGCTGTCTTTCAATTTTTTACGCATTTCCATATGATTTTTTCCCCTTAGTATTATCAACGTCAGGTATGATGAACTTGGTAGTTATGAAAGTACCGCACGTCGAATTATGGGGAAAAGGGTACCAGATTCTCGGACGTTGACATCGTTTCCTGGTTTAACAAGGGGGGGGGGGGGGGGGGGGGCGGGGGAGTACTAAATGGATAGAGGTATCACACCGGTAATTGACAAAACAAAATGAACTTAGTCAAATGTAAGTTCATACATATCAAATTGATTTTCCTTTCTTTTGAGACGTTTTTCTATTCTCTTCCAATCCATTTTACAACTTTGGTACCTGTGCCTAGTAAATTTTATGTACTTTTTGAACAAATTAAGGTTTTTAACAGGAACTATTTTTTCCGGGCATGGGAGGCTAATACCTGTGATGCAATCTGAATGTTTATAAACACATTAAAAACCACGTGGATTTGAGGTAGCCCTGTTTGCAGAGAAAAAGTCAGAAAATGCCGTGTAGGTACCGTTTTCTGTGTGTGTGAGGGTGTGTCAGCTAGTGTGACAGTTAATGTTTAACACGTACACCAGCAAAATATTTTTTTCAAGTAAACAATTACCTGATTTTTTAAAAACAATTTCTTGAATTCTATATGGGCTTTGATTTTGAAAACAATAACCGGTGTGATACCTAGACGCAAACTGACTGGCTATGTTAATATTTTCAGTTTATTGTAAAAAATATCACTGATAAAAATAAATGGTGGAATGTATCAAGTTTATTTTTCTTTAGCTAAGAAAGCTGATAACCTAGGATTCACCCCTTGAAATCGAAATCTGCTGCCGTAAATTGTCTTGCCAGCGTTTGGGGAATATGTGTGATTTGCATCAATAACACTTTTATTGAATTCATCGGTGCGCGTAAATCGGACGAGATTTCTTGGCATGTTAACTTTCATTTTAATAACTTGACTTCATGTTTAAAATGAGTGGAGATCTGATTTTCTTCTCTACATATTAGGTATTGTAACATTCTATTCAGCAGTGTTGATTTCTTTAAACGACCCCGGTCCCTCTATAATGTTGTTAATCTCCTTTTAACGATCCCCTCTTCAATGTTTTATTCTTCTTTCAATCTGTATTTTGCTTCTTCGTCTTTTAGTCATTATTCTTTTTCCTGTCATATGACAGTTTTATATTGTTCTTTAACACGGCAATAATCAGCCAGTATTTGATATTTTATGGCATTATCCAAAGGGCGTCCAAACAGGACTACACAAACGAATGAGATTTAATGTCCCCTCGCTTTTGCGAAAGTTAGGGATAATATTGATTTATTGTATTTAAAAACTTTGAAGCATTTGGTTATTTAATGATATTAACCAGGTCTGGACGATTTCCGAATATGGAAGTTAAGAACAATAACGATAACGGAAAGTTGATATAAAATAAATTTTCTTCAAGCAAGCGTAAATGTTTTTACCGAATCATAAAACAGCTTTTTACACATCTTTAAACAGCTTTCAAAGAAAGAATAGAAATCACGTGCCTTTTTTTCCTCAAATGATTTTTATGGCAAAATATACTTTGAAGTAGGATGAAGAGTTCGGAAAATTGAATCCCTACATAATTACCGTGAAGCAACCTTTACATTTTAATCTCAGTAAAGGTAAAATAAAGTGACACGCCACAGCATGATACGCTCGTCAAAAAATTACAAATTATCTAAACAATTTAGAATGCAATCATGTCAAGATTTCTATGATTTTTCCATTCCTTAAAATATTTGTTTATCCATACCCTGTGGTGTAAGCATTATAACAATATTAAATAATTGATAGCTTTCTATACTGGTTGTGTTATACTTTGCCAAATGCCCATCATATTAAACAGTATCACATGAGTCTGAACAACTTAATCTATGCGAAATTAATTTTGAAATAAAAGGCTAGTAATCAGTGAAATATGCTTCAAGCTGACAAACAGTTCTTCTGTCTTATTCCCAAAGGGTTTAGATAGACCGTTTGATCAGAGATGCTCTAAACAAATGATTGAGACAGCTAGCCTTCCTACATTGAACTTATTAATTAATCTTTGAAGGGAAATGGAAGGATATGCACTTTCTACCCTAAAACATTTTTAAAACATATGAAATACTCAATGATATTTTAAGATATAACATCAAACAGGTATGAATATGCAATTCATATGGACTAATGGATCCGGACATGCTGATTCGCCCACATCCCCTTAAAATTAGTGTTTTAATTAATAATATTAAATAATATCAAATAAGTTTATTATGCATGAATATCAAATAAGTTTTAATCAAATTCATTTTAAAACTTATGCTAGCAAACAAGAGCTTTTTCTAATCCAGCAGGTTGACCCATCTACCTAATGCCTAAAGGTCTTATGTAGATAGCACTTGCTTAATCAGAGATACTCTACTAGTTAACTCCTTACACTATAATCTCATTAATTTATCTCTAATTTGACATGTGATGTTATCAGAATTTTCATGACCAGTGCTTTGGTAATTACACTCATGGGAAAGGTAATATCTCTCTAATATACATTATATTTGTTATAGATTGCTGTCAAGTGAAACAGACATTTTCTTATTTCACTTCAATTAAAGGTCACAGTGACTACGAAATAGGTCGCGACACACCTTCTACCTAAGATGCATAAGTTTGATTATTCTGAGTCGTACAGTTTTCTAGCTATGGGCCGGAATTTTTTTTCCATATTTGGCTATAACCTTTTAATGAAAGGTCAAAACGACCTAATTTTTGTGTGCGACACACCTTCCACCTAAGATGTTTCAACTGACAAAGTTCTATACCGCTAGGCCTAATAGTATCAAACTTAAAGCTAACAGGCAGAGAGACGGAACGACAGACAGACGGACGGACATGAAGCCTAAATCATAAAACGTCCCATCTTAAGACGGGAGTATAAACCCTCGCATGTATGAATGTAACTGAAATGAGATCATTTACAGAGGAATAGATCATATCATCAAATTATTATCGATAACAGTTATAGCAGTTACTGGAAAATGTTTCCTGTGTTGTAAACATAATTTCATTTTGTGGTCACTGTGGAGCTTACATTTTGGAATGTGTTTACGCTATCTTTGTGTAATAAGCAAACATGTCACTTTGTGTTATAAAATGCAGTGTAACCTTTGTTCCAAAAATTGTAGAGGGCTGATATTAGGACACATATATATAAGGAGTCTCCATTTTTCATGTTCAACAAAGGTCAGGGTTATATCGAGAGGTCAAGGTCAAATATTTTGATGTTATCTAGTTAATTTTATAGTTTTTTGCAATTGAATTTATTTTATCGCAAAAATATCTGAAACCACTGGTTCAATTTTCTTCATGTTACACATTTTATTCTAGGACCTATTCGAATCCTTCTGTTGATTTTTTGTTAAAAATGAATTATACATTTTCGCTGAAGAAAACTTAAACTGTCGGATATTTACATGTGAATTTTAAATTCCTACACTACGTATGTTCTATTTTTACTTAATATTTTACTCTTTTCCAGTATCAATAATACTTATTTAAGGTCATACGCAACGTAGTTTGAACTTTTGGGGGTTCTTCCCTGGAGTTGAAGAGTTCCACTAAATGAAGGACCTGTGTGCAATATTTTAATTTCTATATATGGATTTGTACACCTCTTCTAAAACAATTTTTGATGAATTAAAATCTGGAATTTGTGTTTTATAATTTTTGTACATTTTTTTTGAATTATGCAAAAAAAATTCAAAATTCGATATCTTTTCAAAACCTCTGGTAAGGCATGCTGATTTTTTGTCTATGAACATGTAATTATGTATTAAGTTTAAATTTGGAATATCTTTGAAATCTATCAGTAGGTAAGGTACGTTGTGTATGTCCTTAAAGTACAAAAAAGGTTATCTTTATTAAAAGTATAACACATATGTCAATACTGTAAAATCACAAATATTCGTGTTGGATAAAATTTTGTTTATTTCGCTGTTAACAATTATCAACGAAATTATATCCAACACGAAATTTTATATGACTATATAATGAATAGGGTTATTTCAAATGACATCAAGGTAAATTACCTGGTGACCTTGATTGTAACCTTTATGCTAAAAATACTTTTTTGTACCTTCGCCATAACTTTTAAATCATCAGAGATAGAGACTTCATATTTGGTGTGCAAAACTCATGAATCAAGTTCTATATGCTAAAAATAGCTCTTTTTTTTCGAAATTTGTTGACGTCGGGCACATAGTGTTTCACAAACACATCTTGTTTTCTCGTGTGTTTGTCTATATGTCGCTATTAGAACATGACAAGTTTGCTTATTCTACGTATTTTAGCAAGTAACTGTTATCGTTCTTGACTTCCTTTTTGGAAATCATCAAGACCTGTTAACAATAAGTTTCTTTCATATTCCAACGGTAAACTACATTTTTTCATGATAGTATAATTAGAAATTAAGTTCGAATTGCATATTAACCTTTATTTCTGACTCTTGAGAAATGCTTACCTGAAAGATTTGTTTTCCATATGTTGTAATCACCTAGTATATTTTCCGAAAAATCTACGAAAGACCAAAACATCGAAATAATAACAAAAATTACAGACATTCCAATAGTTTCATACAGATATATATGAGTTAGTAAAACATAAGTACAAGATATAATCTTACTTTTCATTTTTTTGTCAATCATGCAGTGTGAAATTAATTACTCCTTTTACGCCTTGCTTTGCTTTTGGAGTCTTACTGTTGTGAGGTAAATATGTTAGATTGATTGGGATATGGCATTAAACAAGTTTGTAACGTACCGGTAATTAAGATTGATTGGGATATGGTATGACACAAGTTTGTAACGTAAACATATTTTTTCATACCCAAATAGCTTGTTACTGATTGTGTTCCAATTGCCATTTAGATACCCAGGTGCAGAGAACATTTTCATTAAAATTATGCATTTTAACCAAAATAATCAACTGAATTAATTTCTATAAAGCTGTTTAATCAACTGAATTAATTTCTATAAAGCTGTTTTATTATCAGATAATTTAAATACGTACTAATTGAAATATTTCTATTTCCAATTGTTTTCTCTATGATAAAAACTACTAAAGTGAATCTTGTTAATTTCATGGTAATACCCTGTGGTATGTATATTTCTCTATTACTGAAAGGTCAGGTGTCAACCTGCATGTATAACACTGGCGTATAAATATACTAAAGAAAAAATAGATGTTTTGTTTAATTGTTTACTAAGTAATTTGATATGATATATCTTTTTAACAAACAAAATAAATAATGAATTATCTTCGGCTCGAAAACAAGTCACTAGCGCAACACTGTCCACTATCACCGAGGCCTCGCGAGACCGAGAACTCCACTTCCTAGTAAACAGCCACGTGGAAAAATTGACATTGCCACATGGATCTGCACGTACTCCATCATCTGATACAGACATCGTCCCACAGTCATTACCATCCGACTTCTTAAGCAACTCAACTTCTTCTGTTATTTTAACATGCATACAAATCGGTTTCCTGAAAATGCTAACCAACTCCCGTTTCATCAACTGCAACATTGCATTCAATATGGCGGCGGAGAAGTGACATAGTGCCTATATATGTTCGTGCTTCCGACAACCTACATCTAGATCACAGATATAATTAAAGTTAACAGGATTACTTTGATCATAATTTAAATTCTTTTGTTGTTTATTTTTTAATTGCTGATATTTGAGTACGGTAACTAAATAATCAATACATTTGTTTCGTGTTTTGGGGACTTTTTTTTTATAGTACAATTTGACGTAATGGGGCATTGTGCATTTCAAATCTACTCAATTTGAAGGTATTTCGATTTATTTTAAGATGGTTATTTCATGTAAAAATGGAAATATAAGGAATCACTGTCTAGTTTTGAGAGTATGCCAGGGACATCAACAATAGTGGGAAACATGGGATAATTTTAGCATAACGGGCTTCGCCAGTTATACAAATTATCCCATGTTTCCCACTATTGTTGATGCCCTGGCATACCCTCAAAACTAGACAGTGATTCCTTAAATAACACAGTTCAACCCAATTTGTACTGCATTATGTTTGGTCCAGGAGATGGACAGTCATATAATAAATGCATAGTATATGTACTGAATGGAGGTTATGAACAAATTTTAATATTGTTATCCTTGTTAAAATAAAAAAAATTACGCTATTAATCTTTTCTGCATTTTTGTGCTTTCTGGAAAGGACGGTTGCTTTCAATTCATTAGTTAAATCAATATGTTATTGGGCTTTTGTCGAAATATGCTTGACCTTTACCAAGTATTTTATGTCCTCATTAAAAAACCCTCTGGATTTAAAGAAAGCAGCAGCACTTTTCAAGTTCAAAGTTACATATACAACCAATATTACAGGTTTATTGTGTCATGCTCTACATAACATACCGCATTGAAAGAAAATCAACCTTCAATTACAAAATCAAATTGAGTCCAAATATAATTTTATCCCTGCTTTTAAATTTGATGTTTATTAAGAATCCAAATTATTCATGACCTACAAGGAACACTTTTCTTCTATTTAAACTTTGTAAGTATAAGCTACAATGTATACGCATACAAGGGGCGTTTTAATTTTTAATTTTTTATTTAAACAATTGGAAAATTAATTACGAAATGATACGTATTAATTTATTAATTAAACGTACAACTGTCAGAGTATTAAATATTTTTATATGTTATATATATAACTTATTTATTGAATTTTAATTCAAACATCTGCGATTTAATAAATCCACAATGAAACTGTATAATGCCCGAGAGATTCCAAGTAGAAAATCCAAATTGAGGCCAAAGCATGTGAAAATCATGTACAAAGCGTGTAAGAAACGTGCTCAAGGCGTTTCGTACAAAACCCTGTAGCCTTTCGTGCAAAACGTGTAGCTTTTCGTGTTATCCGTACAGCGTTTCGAGCAAACCGTGTAGCGAGCGGGTACCGTTCGTGCAGCAAGAGTGTGGGGTAGTAGCTCGTCTCAGGGTCTGTATGCTAATGCAGATATGATATTCTATTGTCAAAAGTCTAGTTATAATAAAAGGATATTGCTAAATTATTCATAATTAAGCGGAAAAAGAGTGTTTGTTAGTTTGCATTTGGTTTAACGTCCCTTTCGAAAATTTTCCACTTCTATGGAGACGCATCCACTTGTTTTGAACAGTCTCATCCGAAAGACCGGTTTCCATATCCCACAGTGGGATTAAAACTCTCGACGTAAGTAGATACCAACTCCTTATGCCTAGGTCACATTTAAGCCGATGGTCGGGCGACTAAATTTTTCTGGTTTCGTCGGCTAAAAGAACATGATCGGCCGATACGAGTACCGGGCGACATGGAGCAGTCACATTAATTCCTAGGAACACCGATGACTTGGATAAAAACATAAATAAAATTTTTCTTTAAAAGTCAGCAAAATTTCTCATATATCTGTATTCAAATAAGTGACATGAGTAATGTTTGAAAAGCCATTAGTGGCAGAATTTTGTACGATTCTGACTCAATGTTGAAAATATGTGCAAAATTTTGCGTAAAATTGCATAAAAACGACAAATCTAAGCATCAAAGAATACTTAAAAGATTTCTTTATATCTTACGGATTAGTAACTTATGTTATTTCCGTTTCAAAAATATATATGAATCCATGCATCAAATTTTGTATGTGTTATGTATATAATATATATTATAATATATATATATATATAGAGAGAGAGAGAGAGAGAGAGAGAGAGAGAGAGAGAGAGAGAGAGCGAGAGAGAGAGAGAGAGAGAGAGCTAATGATTTTTTTTACCCTCAACATCATTTTCTATATCTTTGTATGTCCCTACTAATGGAACTTCCAAATATTCTTCTTGCAGCAATTCTGGTCCTAAAGTATAAGCCAATTTTATTTTATATAAAAATCTTTATTGATATGAAGAGGGTTATACTATAAGATTAAAACAACCTTGAATAAGAATGATTTATTCTGATATAATTTAATTATTGATGCAACTGTCTCTTTCATTGGCTGAAAGAATGCGTTTATGCATGACCTACGTCACAATGACGCGATAAAAACGTCTTCCGCATGAATTTGCATTTATTATTTTTTTTTTCAATTTAATGAGATATTTGAGGATAATTTGTCTTTTTTTTTTATAATAATCTTAATGATAGAAAAGGAAATTATAAGGAATGAATTTAATAGCTACTCAGGTCATAAAGTATATATTAAATATTATTTATCTATTAAATAAATACATCAAATATTTATGATTATTCATTTTAGTATATATAAGTACATCTTCGCTAGCTGATACGCTACTCATTCTCCTCATGAACCCTTGGCATACGTTGAAATCAAAAGACGGGATTGTTTTTGTCACATGATCTCGAATTTATCAGGAACGAAAAGATTGCGTCATCGACAGAAATAAAGACGCGTGTTTCAAAAAATTAAATCAAAGTTTTTTTTCAAGGATAATTTATAAGCAATAACTTAGTAATGTTTATTTAATATTTACAGTACAAATCCGAAGCTTCAATATAGATCTTTAATCATATATTTAGAAGATATTGGATGAAAACATAGCATTGTAAAAGAAATTTAAAAAAAAATATTGTATGAATGAAAGTTGTGGACACTTGGTAAAGTTCTTGTTTAGATTTAAATAACTCGTATATGCATGTCGTTAGAATGATCATCTAGTAATAACAACCATACCTCTATTAGAAAAATTTTTAAGCAAATATATATTTTTAATCTTAATGTATAATATGAAAGTGTACTTTCAAATAAATAGATAGATCAAGAGGCGGACAAAATATATTTATTTCAAAATCTAAACTCAAATTTGATTCTTTGAAAATTAAAAGAGAAAATATACAAAATATATTTTTGAAAGTCCAATTTCTGAGCTATTCATAGAATTGCATGTATCTTACGGATCGTTCAGGAGCACGCACTTGCGTTTTTCATTCCCGAGATTAAAGAGTCAAGAAGTATCCCGAATGCAAATATCGTCATTTACAAAAAAAAAGCAATTGCTGATTGGTCGACCGGTTGTATCAAACTCGAGAAAAAAAAACTTCTATCAACACCATATGCCAAGGGATTATGAGGAGAGTGGCGTATCAGAAACCCTTGGCAAGCGAAGATGACATAAGTTGGATTGGATACCTTTAAGAATTAAACAATGTTAAACGGTACGGAACACTACCTTAATGTTTTAAACGATATGGTATTTTTAACGATACGGTACTAAGATGAATGCTCGATGAATGAGAATGAGGGACATTTTAAAACAAAAGTGTTTTCACAAATAACAAAATTTCAATGTCATAGTCTAAAATGAGTATATAAGCTATGTTTACTTTTCAATACTTAAATAAATGATCAACAAATTCAATTAACTGAATCTCAAACAAATTATACTTTATTGTACGACCCATTCGTTTGACGAAACATAAGAAAATTGATTTAGATGCTAGTCTCATATTTTAGACATTCTGTTTTTTTTTTTTTTTTAAATTACATTTATTTTCAGTTTTTAAAAATAAAATTTAAACATCATTAACCTGAATGTAAAAAAAAAATACGTGTATAGAGAGATATTGAATTACATTGTACTACGAATATCGGCATTTGAAAGCAAATATCGTACAATAAGCATCAGTTTCGTTAACTACTCTAACCTTTCAATGCAAAGATAATTTTATTTTAGCAAGTTAAGAATCAATTTAATATCATTTTTTGTGCATAAAATTATTTCAAAGAAAATGATATTTAGAAACATTGTTATTCGAACTGAAAGCTGAAAGGGTATTTTACTGAAATCTTGAGGTAACTATACAGTACGGTATTTGTACCGAGTACAAATCTAACCCTATCGAACCCTGGTAGCCCTACTTATGAGTAAACACTTCTATGTATTTAAAAAAAAATTAGGGCAAACGTACCTTTATAAATTTTAATCCCAGACGCTTTCCATGTAACTATATCTGGAGGTATTTGAAAAATACCCAAAAAACGTTTACTAAGAAATATTTTAGAAATATTTCTGATGAAAAGTTTGTCTCGTCGGCAAAAATCACCAAGGAATCTCTGCAATGGTTTTTCGCTCGAAAAACCGATGAGAAAACAAACAGATCCTTTCTGGATGGATAAGTTCTTTGCGTCATATTCTTGTATTATAGACAGGAATGTATCATGCATTTCAACCTCACATTCACGTAATTTCTTCTTTATATCTGGATCGTTCTTCAGTTTATTGACAAAATACATCAAAGTTGCTCTATCCCTGGCTTGCAAAATTTTATTAAATAAGTTATCGATTGTCCCTTTAATAGTTTCTTTTGTCCAGTGTCTATTTGGAAATCTAAGACTGTCTATAAGTGAATCCACTGCGCACTCCAGTAATATTCTCTTGTCTTCAACATCTGTAGAAACGTCTATATCTAATCGAGCACTTCGACCACTTTCTAAAGTAAATGAACACATTGTAGGATATATTTTTTTTCTTTTTTAGAAACAAAAGTTATCCCAAATGACAACAATTTAATTCTTTAAAGATAACTACCATCATTTTCTAACTCTACGCTTTTGTCTCTCTCGGAATAGCTTTTTGACATAAATTCATCCTTTTGATTTTCATTTTGTAGCCGATTGCCTACTGGGAAAAATGCTCATAGCTTCAGTAGTAAGAAACAAATAATAAAACTTTGCAAAACTTTTTTACATAATTTTGAAGTGATCTTTATATCCTTATGCTAAAAACAATATTCGCTTCAAATGTTTCTTGTTTAAAAATCCTATTTTGATTTTCATTTAATTGTTTTATTTAGCATATCCATTCAAAATGCCGAGGTAAATATACTTTGGATTTTCATTGATGGCAACAATTATTATAAATATATACAAGGGTTGTCCGGTAAAATCGTGCCCAAAGCGTTTTTCTTGAAAAATAATGGATATTGAAAGAATTTCAAAAATTAAAACTTTCAGAAAATGATTTTTAAGTCAGATTTAAGTGCATCTCAGATTCATTTGATAAAATATAGAAAATTAAGATTTTATAATGCTTGAAAAGCGGTTTTTTTTCCGAAAAGTAATGGACACATTGAGCTTACATTTTCACGAAATGACTTTTTTAATCAAATTTATGTACATGTTAATATTTTGATAAAATATAGAAAATTAAGATTTTGTAATGCTTGAATGTGTACAGGTCACGCACACGAGCATTGTTTCGTAAAAAAAAATAAAATGATAAGATTGAGGTAAAATATATCGTATTTAAGTTATTTTTTAATCCACTTTCTATTGTGTTGTCTTTTTTAAAATTGCAAAGCATTTGCCTCATGTTTGGCAGTTGTCTGAGCGTTTGAAATGGGTATGTGGTAAACAGAACACACAAAATAGGCGACGTTTGATGACTTTACGGCGCAACGGAGAGCAGTTCTTATGTAGTAATAACGCCCTAACATATTTTAAATAAATACATAAGAAATGTAATAAATAGTAAAAAAAAAAATCACTAGATCTTTAGTGATTTAGTGAAGTGGGATTTTTTTTAACTGAGCAAATTCTATTTGATCAAATATCCAGGTAGAACAAAAAATACGACAAACTGCTTTACAGTGTATATATGGTAAAAGCGAAAAACGCCGTCACTGTAGATCGTAGATACATGAATATGCATAATTTTGTTGAATGATACTAAGATTACTATCCATACTTTCGAATAAGTATTCAGAGGGTTCAGTGTGTTTGGGAGATTAGTTCATTGTTTGTTTATGGAGTTGAAAAAGAAAACGCAAGTATGTGCATTCATGAAATAACTCAACTATTTTGTAGCAATCAGAAACGTGACGCTGTATTAGACACTTTGACGTTATCATCCGTGCGCCGTAAGGCAATACAACACATTACATAAAATCTAATTATTTATTAACTCATGCATATAGCTAAATATATTGATTAAAATGTACTAAGGAGAAGTGAAAGTTTTAGAACACAGTGACGATTATTTTGGACAACTTGTCCACGATTTCATCGGACAACCTTCGTACGATTCATGTGTCAAAAAGAGAGGTTTGAAATTCTTTCATTTATTATACTGGTCCATGAACCATTCTTATGGTTGCTAAAACTTTATATAGCATTGAATTTAGCGCTATAAATGTTTAAGGTAAAAGTAGAAATTAATTGCATTATTCCAGATCGTTCTTATTATGAGAATACTGTAGACCTCAGGGTCGGAGATTAAGAACAATTGTGAACAACCTCTTTAAATTCAGTAAGATTTTCTTTTTAACATTGCAGCGTCCAATTATTAAGACAGAAAGGAAAAACATTTTTTAAATTTTGTTGCTCAAATCTTTTACAAACAACCAGGATATAGAATTTTGATAGGCTTCAAAAAATGACCTTTGTAAAAGGTCAGTCCCTCGATGTTCCTACTGCAATATCTTTTGGTACTTTTTTCATAATTCAACTTTTCTTAATGACCTTCTTTCGTATTCAGGGCTCCCCATGGATGGGTTTATGAAGTGACCCTGCCATATTTAAATTTCATAGCGCACCAGTTTAAAGGATTAGTACTAGAGTTCTGCCACTTGTTAATCACAAAGATGTATAAATTCCAATATACTTTCAGTTAAACCTCCAAACTTTAAACTGTTTTAAATGCTAACCAATTATCTTAATCTTTTATGGGTCCATATCCTTTTGCTTTAAAGTTCAATAATACTCTACGCCTCGCAGGACTTGACGCTCACTTTCAGGTAATTGTAAATGTTTTACTTAAATGATTTAGTTTTAAATGTAGGTAGATTTACTAAAGATGATTACGTCTTTATACTTGCATTGCTGCTGATAGTCACACATTGTACATGAATTGTAATTGTATAACTTGGGTTTTTGAAGGAATAGCAGGTTTGGTTGGGCGAATTCTGTCGGGATAAGATTTTGTTGTGCCATTGTGCCACATTGGAACATGAAATGAAGAGGAACTTTGATATTAAAATATGCGCCCTAGGAAAGTACGGAGTTTATTTTATTTATTTTTTTTTTGTCTTTTTGGAATTTATTTTTAAAAATTGTGTATGGAAAAGGATTCTACTCTCAAAACCTAGTGCCAGTACTTAGTACCTATTGCATATACATGTAAAATGCTATGCACCATCCTGCAGAATAAAAAAAAAATTATTCTGTAATATCTTTCACTTATTTTGTCCACGTCATTGCTGTGCTCAGTGTTTAAGAAAAAACAACAATGATGAAATGTCCTCTGGGAAATGAACTTAGTTCCCCACTTGATCAAATCCTGTGAAGCCAAAAGGGCTTCTCAGCGAATATGATCACGTACCAACTAAGTTCATTTCCCAGAGAACTTTTTACTATTCAGAAATTACTTCTTCCTATAAGTTCGACAATTTCATTTTGGCGCGCCATCCTACCCACGGGTAATGAGACAAATACAGTCCGAGGAAAACTGCATTTATTACAAGAATTTGCCTCTGTATTGTTATGTTGTGACGCACGCAGTGACCTAAACATTGTTTCCTGAAATTCGTCTTGCTCCAACATTTGAATATTTTCAATGATGTTCAGCAGTCCAGTTCAGGAATAATTATGTAAAAACAAGGATCCCTTCTGAGAGTAATCTTACTAGTTTATGAACTCTTAATATATTTGATGTGAAAAACAGTGATATCTCCTGTTTCAGTTTAAATGTACACAAGTTCAAAGGAATTTCGGATTATAAAGGTTAGTGCAATTTTAGGCTAACTATAGTATTTAAAACCCGAAGGCACCGGGTGACATAACACTCCTGACATTTCCTGTCATGTTATATATGGTACATGTGTATATAAAATTTTAACGACGTTCGATCCTGATATTTAAAGTCCTTAACTTTTTTTGCCAAGTATATTTTTAGTTTCTACATACATGGCTTAATTAAAATTCAAATAAAAAAATGAGGGGGGGGGATATGCTTCTTTTGGCTTTACAGTACAATTAATTTGACCTTTTTGCACTGAAAATGTGTGTCTTAACTAAAAATAAACCTTCGGCATTATCCCTGCAATATTTTTATCCAAAAATAAAGCACGAAACAAAATGAACTCTAAGTCTGTTTAAAAAAAGACACTTTAAAATTGTAACTAAGAAAAAGTTTTAAACTGCTTCGCATTATCAATTATTTGACCTTTCTGCAAGTCTTAAACCTTTTCTGAATTTAAGCAAATAGTCAAAGATATCTTCAATATTTAGAAAAGAGCATCAAAAGATGTTTATTTTCAGATATTACTAAATGTTGTCAATTTTACGTTAAAATTGGCTCAATTATTTCCCGAATTTTCTATATTTACTACATTTTTCACATTTTGTTGATAAAATTCATAAGAAATAGTTTAATAGATATTTGAGAACCAGCATAACACATTTCACGGCAAAGAACAGCTTTGTGTGCAACCATCATGGAATAAAAGGAATCCAAAGTAAACAGTACTGTTATAGTTCGAAAGGGAAAAACTGATCATTTTTGTCGAAAAAACCTTCCGCCACAAAATATAGTCCTTAGTTTAATTCTACTTGAAAAGAACTTAATCGCGTTTTTTTATTGAATATAGTTCAATTTGTATTGAAGAATTCAAATTTAATGTTAGAACTTAAAAATGATGCAGAATCTTATAAATAATGGACATGACCAAAATCCACTCAAAAGCTCAGGATCGAACGTCCTTAAACACTGAATCCAAAGCGATCACCGAACATATTTATTAAACACTATGTACATATGTACGATTAGTATAATTCCGAAATATCCCACGTCCTGTTTCATTGCAGAATGTTTCAGTATGCTAACAATTGTGTTGATAACATTGTTACATATGTCACGAATCGTTCTCCTCAATTAAATTATCTAATTCCTCTAGATATAAATGAACAGATCGCAGATGTTGTTCGGACATTTAAATTTTCGCGGAACTGTCTACGTTTGCCTAGCAACTGTCTCTGTGCATTTCGAACCCAACGTATTTATTATGCAAAATGATGGCACTTGAGGGGACATAACTGTATTATGGAGGGCAATTTAATTTAACTGTTTCCGGTGAAATATAACTATATCCGGTGTGATTTAGCAGTTTTTCCAGGTCAAATGGATAAAAATATTATATTTGTTATAAAATAGGAAAACTTCAAAATTTTATATAAATGTATGTTTCAGTTATTTTACGCTTTTCATCGTTTTAAACTTGGTAGCTCCAAAACCAGAGGAAATATATAATGTAAATAAAATCATCCCGCCGAAATTTTCGGTCGCGCTAAGACCTCTGAATGAAACCCAAATAAGTGCATACAGCCTTGAACATATTTGCTCTTCCATAGGTTCATCTAAGAAAATTATTTGCAAATGAAAATATTTAAAACTGGTGACATTAACATTGACAAACAACCTCTGAATATAGTAAATGTAGTAAAATCTTAGTATGTTTCACTGATTTTATGTATTTTATGGCATTGAAAAAGATATTTTAACCATCAAATAAACTGACTTACCATTTTCTAACCCATCCTGATTTTCTTGTAAAGGTTCCATATCTATTACATTATTAGGATCATTATCTAAAACAATGAATTCTATTTATAATATTTATTATGGGCCAAGAATTTTTTGTCATTTCAATTCAGTACTAATAACATAATGAAATAAATTAAATACAAGCCATACTATCTATGTTTATAAAGAAAATACACTCTGCCTTAATTGAGCATAATTTCAAAGGAATATCAAAGCTTCTACAACCATAAAAATGCAGTTTGAAAATGTTAGAAAAACTGACTTGGAAAATAGTAAATCACAACCTAATATATATTCCAAATATTGTAAACAATTATAAAAGAAAATAAAATATACGGAAGAATGATTTCAAATAAGAATATTTAATATAGTTCACGTCATCAAGAAAATACACGTGTGTTGTTTTAAAAGTCATTGTGGTTAAAAGTTTTAAAAACTTTTGTTTTAGAACAATGAAATCACCATTTCATAATGGCTTTCTTACCATTCCAGGAAATGGTATAATGGTTTGTATTAAAAGATTGAAAAAAATATACAAAATAATAAAATAAAGAATCTGTTATTGACGGCAAAGTGTGTAAAATGTTGCTTTCAAACAAAATTGTTGATATCCTTTTATCATCAATTTATTAGTCAGTGCCTTTTCTAGTTCTGGAAATATCCTTGACATTGACAACCTCTGAATATAGTAAATGTACTAAATTCTTAATATGTTTCACTGTTAGAACTTGATTTTATGTATTTTATGGCATTACAAAAGATATTTTAACCGTCAAATAAATTGACTTACCATTTTCTAATCCATCCTGATTTTCTTGTAAAGGTTCCATATCTATTACATTATTAGGATCATTATCTAAAACAATGAATTCTATTTATAATATTTATTATGGGCTAAGAATTTTTTGTCATTTTAATTCATTACTAATAACAAAATTAAATAAATTAAATACAAGCCATACTTTCTTTGTTTATAAAGAAAATACACTCTGCCTTAATTGAGCATAATTTCAAAGAAATATCAAAGCTTCTACAACCATAAAAATGCAGTTTGAAAATGTTAGAAAAACTGACTTGGAAAATAGTAAATCACAACCTAATATATATTCCAAATATTGTAAACAATTATAAAAGAGAATAAAATATACGGAAGAATGATTTCAGATTAGAATATTAAATTTAGTTCATTTCATCAAGAAAACACACGTGTGTTGTTTTAAAAGTCATTGTGGTTAAAAGTTTTAAAAACTTTTGTTTTAAAACAATGCAATCACCATTTTATAATGGCCTTCTTACCATTCCAGGAAATGGTATAATGGTTTGTATTAAAAGATTGAAAAAAATATACAAAATAATAAAATAAAAAACCTGTTATTGACGGCAAAGTGTGTAAAATGTTGCTTTCAAACAAAATTGTTGATATCCTTTTATCATCAATTTATTAGTCAGTGCCTTTTCTAATTCTGGAAATATCCTTGACATTGACAACCTCTGAATATAGTAAATGTAGTAAAATCTTAATATCTTTCGCTGTTAGAACATGATTTTATGTATTTTATGGCATTACAAAAGATATTTTAACCATCAAATAATTTGACTTACCATTTTCTAACCCATCCTGATTTTCTTGTAAAGGCTCCATCTCTATTACAATATTAGGATCATTATCTAAAACAATGAATTATATTTATAATATTTATTATGGGCTAAGAATTTTTTGTCATTCAATTCAGTACTAATAACAATATGATATAGATTAAATACAAGCCATACTATCTTTGTTTATAAAGAAAATACACTCTGCATCAATTGAGCATAATTTCAAAGAAATATCAAAGCTTCTACAACCATAAAAATGCAGTTTGAAAATGTTAGAAAAACTGACTTGGAAAATAGTAAATCACAACCTAATACAGTGTATATGGCAAATGTTGTAAACAATTACAAAAGAAAATAAAATATACGGAAAAATGATTTCAAATAAGAATATTTAATATATTGAGTTCACTTCATCAAGACCTTGACATTAGAGATTTTTGTACTTATGAAAAAACTTAAACCTTAGCCATAACTTTTGAACGCTAAGGGCTAGTGATATCATACTTCACATATGTAATCCTTGTGAGAAGACCATACATTAGATACCAATAATATTGATCCTTTGACCTTGACCTTGGAGTTTGACCTACTTCTTAAAATTTTTAACCTAGGCCATAACTTTTGAAGGGTTAGGCTGGGGATTCCATGCTTCATATATGTATTTTTTGTGGCAAGACGTTTCATTGGATACCAATAAGCTTCAGTTACTTTCATATTTCTCAATTGCATTTTTAGTGAGAATGTTCTACTTTTGGTACCATTATATTAATTTTTTATTGAAGAAAAGTTTAGTCTTTGCTTTTTTGCCATATGGGGGCATCAGTGTTTCACAAAAACATCTTTTTTTTACAATTGTGATTATGTGTCTTGGCCAGGGAATCCAACTGACAACGCATTCACCGATAGCACAGCAGAGGAATTGATACATACACATTTCGCTTTGCAATATGACTTTTGGAAACCTAGACTTCCAACATTTATTTAACAAATGAATTGAATTTAAAAGAAAATGTTTTTCATTTACGAAATGGATTGAAAAATGATCTTCATTGCCTTCCCGGTCGCCATTAGATTTTCTTCTTTTTTTCAAGCGTAAAATTCCTGTAGTATGAACCTTTGTTAGAATTAGAATTTGTTCTCGAAAAATTTACTTAAATCGATGTTATAACGCGTCATTTCTGTTTGTGTTTTTTAACTCCCCCCCCCCCATTAACAAAAAAATCATTTATGACAAACCCTTAATTCTATACATGCAAAACCATTAAATTCAGGCATCCACGTACAGTAGGTGTGTTTAGACTACGAAATTTTTAAAATGTTTTTTGAAAAATAGTCACAAAAAGAGTAGTCCAAAAGCTTTTATATTTACAGTGGAACCGCATTTATCCGGACGCTTTGGTTCCCAGTCAATTTGTCCGGATATGTGAAGAGTCCAGATACCTGAATCACCAGTTAAACAAGACAAAATAACAGTAAAAAATCCGTTACGATGAAAAATCGTCCGGATGCTGAAGCATCCGGGTATCTGGTGTCCGGATATCTGAAGGTCCACTGTATACATTTTTCGAAATTCAGCTATGCTTTGTTCTAAAAAGATATTAAAATGATAAAAGAAACCTTTCTCATTTATGTCGTTCACATAATATTTCAGAGTTTGACCGCTAAATGTTTTTTTTGTAAATAGATAGATAAGAAGGAAAAGACTCTAAACAAAATCATATTATATATCAATAATCCTTTTCAATAAGTATACGTTTTATCAAATATCAACATCAAATGATCTCATGTGATTGATAACTCCTAGCCCTCTCACTGGTTTATGTCAAACATTGTAGAAAATGCTACATATATGTTATGTTCATCTACACGTGGCCTTTCAGGAGGACATTAGAATTTATTTTTCTACACTGGAATAAAAATAGATCCATAAACTTCATATTAATATAAAATATTTCACTTCCAACCGACTACAATATGACTGTTTTCAGGTGTACATAAAATACAGGCATATAGAATAAGTAGGGGATTAGAAGATGAATCGATCAATATTGTGCCCTAAGGGTTAAATTGACCTAAAAAGCAATTTTTGTATAAAAATTATTATACATTCAAAATTCAGGTAAACAATGTTTACCAAGATTTGGTTCTTTTCTTTTATTTCTTTTCCAGAGAAGAACTCCAAGGAACAGGAGACCTATGAGGACAATCACTCCAACACAAAGTCCTCCTACTATTGCACCAATATCGGCGGACTCGTACTCCTGGATTGTGGCTGTTTGATTATTTGCTTCCGTAGTATTATAAATGTCAAGGTCTGAGTTCTGTGTTCTATTTAAAAAAAGATATTGAATCACATCTAACACTAACCTCATATGTACATATTTAGATGCACATTTGTTTTATGGGCTTCCTTTACTTACGTTATTAAAAAGGAAGGATTGGCAAGATAGCAACGGTCTTCTGTATTAATTCTCTGACATGCAGGGTCTAGATTAGTTAATTATAAAGATTGAACATTTGTATAATGGTTGTGTCCGATTGTTACCAAAATATAATGCAGATATATGTTAAGCTATTGGTGTTCTTACAGTGGTAATTTTCATTGCTCCTGTAGGGATTATCTGGACAGCCTTCTATAAACCCTGAGCAGTCACGTGAAAACAGATTACCATCAGTTGTCTCCAAACAGAATCCTAAAAACATGGCCGATTTTGTCAATGATAATAAGACAGATTTGAATGTAAAAATGAAATGCTGAATATGTTCACTTATGTTTATATCTTTGGTACAATGTATTTGCTAAATGGATAAAATAATTGTTATTGACTTTTGAATTAATTAAATAACATCACTGATCTTCAATTAACCAAAACCTTTTGGTACTCACCTCTTTGAATTATCCCCATGATTCCATCGTGACAGAATTCTACCAGACCAGTCTTCTCTCTGTTAGGGAGACATATATACTGATCATTGCCATACTTGTCCCGACCACATCCAAGTCTTGTAGAGGCCTCTATAGCTTCTGTGAGGTTTTGAGGACAACATTCGACAAATCCATCCATAGTTAGAGGCAATTAAATGGATAGAAACCTAAATGTATAAACTAGTTATAAATTAATTCAAATTTTATCAATATTCGTTGAGCACCAGTTTTCGTGGATTTCGTTGTTGAGCAGATTTTTTGTCCACGAAATTACGTATCCTCGAAAACGTCTGGGGTTTTTTTTTTATAAAATCCACGAAAATTGAAGAAACCACAGTATATACTATATGAGTTTCATCAATATTCATTGAGCAACAATTTTCGATAATTTCGTTGTTGAGCAGATCTACGAAATAAAATGATCCTTGAATTAAGAAATATGTTATTTATATGTATATGCAGTGCAATTATCCTCGAAATCACCTATCCCCGAGAGCGACTATTTTTCAAAATCCACGAAAATTGATCCCAATTTAACGAAATTTGATGAAACCACAGTGCCAATTTAAAACAAAACCTTTCTGCGCTAAATCTACAAAAAAATTGGAATTAACATAATTTTAAACCTAAGTAGATTATAATATGCCATGACAGATCAGTAAAGTTGTGCAGATTTCTCTCTTATAAGTGTTTAGTCCTCGAACCATTTCATTAATCTAATTTAAAGCTAGAATTTCTTCAACTCATATTGTCCTTTAATAGACATCATTAGCATTTTGCGTTGACTTGTTTTAAAGCATTTAATATGGTTTTAATTTCATTATGTAATGTTTCCCCTACCTGATCAAAGGTTGATAAAGGCGTGTTTGTCCGATCAACAGAGTACCCTTTTGAATTTTCTAAGTTTACACTTTATATCACAAATCGGTACTTTGTAGATTTTTATGAATTCGTTTATTATCTTCATCTTTTTATCAAGGATCGGGGTGTCCTAGAATTTTCCAAAATTACTTGCTTTGATTTCATATGTTTTACTTCTAGGAAATTAGATATTGAAACCAACGGAATCAAAAAAAGACCATTGAATAAGGTAAATAAAATCATAGAGTATCATTTTATGTAGGAAGATTATGCGAGGGTTATTCCGAAATTCTACAGTAATTTCCATTCGTAGTAATCAAATTTAATAAAAAGGTGAAACTTTAAAAATAATTCAAATCACAGATAATTTAAAACTAATATCGATAAATGAGACATATTTATGTTTTTAAAAAACATATATGAAATTCAAGATTTCTCTAAAAAATATAATTCCTCGTCGAACTTTCATAGGATAAAAATGAAAAGGACCAACCGAAGGAAATTAAGATAACGTCAATTTTGCGACACAGTGCAATTCCTTACAGAAAGTCATACTAAAAAAATCATGAGCTTGAGACACAAAGGATGTTTATGGCTTTTTAAGGGATTCGGCATTTTCAGCATTTTTTAGGGTAGGTGGGTTAGTCCAATATAATTGATTTACTATGTACGTTTAATTTACTCCGCCAATTCTATGGGATGGGGGTCAGAACCCCTACCCTCTCCCAGCCCCCACATCCTCTATATCCATGCATAGCTTCCGAGCAGTTAGTGACCTACTCATATCGTTCGCCTGTGGAAGCAACATGACTCTGCTTTTAAAGAATGGCAAACAACATTCACTTCAATCTGCTTTGCCTTTGGACATCTTTGTTAATATTTAAATTACAAGAATCTTGTAAAACAAATATATATTATCTTTTTTTCACCAACTCGGTGATATTCAAAAATAATAAAAATATTAATCGGTATAACTGTTTTAATGCTTGATGTATATTGAAATAACTTCAATAACTACGGAACGATTTTGTTTTTATTATCAACACCCACTGTCATCTTGAAATCGAGGACACGATGTTAGAAAATGTTTTCAACCAAAGAGCATATCAATGGTTGGCTTGTGAATCACGCTTTCTGGTGAGAGATTGTGCTCTTATCCATGGAAAAGATAACACCTAAGATCAACAGGGATGAATCGTTCTTCCGACTAAGCTACCGTAAGAACCTGATTTACGAACACATTTAGCAGTAAACAAGAAATTGATTTTGTTTTACATGTACCATGACACAATATGATATGATATAGTACCAAAGATTTCTAAATTTTCATGTTTTTTTAAATGGAGAAAAATTTTTTCGCTTTTTAGATAATTTTCGGTAAAGAATAGAGATCAATACTGACATTTTTTCTTAAAGTTACCCAATGGATCTATAGAACACAGGTGTAATTAATGTTTTGTACAATGAAAAAACTTTAATTAACATGTATCTTTAATGACTATCTTGTTATTGCCCACAGTGGATTTTATAAAGAACAAAGAACGAATCACTGAATGAATAGCGACGTATGAGGCCTTGCTTTATGTTTAAGATTGTATCTGGGAGACACAGACCAAGTATATCATCGACCCAATATTAAATTGAAAAAGACCAAATTTAAGATAATCATGATTATGATCATTAATTTATCTTTGTTCCTGCAATGTTCAGAATGTTTTGTAGAGAACATTCAAACGTAAGGTGAACAATCAGATCTCCCCAGGCATTTAAATGGCCTTTTATCGTTACAAAACGCCAGATTACGGCCATTCGTGGTAGCCTTTTCTCATTTGCCATTGAATCTACCAAACATTTGTTTTTACCGATAGTACACCAGAGGAACACAGACTCCATTCGCCTAACGGAAAGGTTTTGAAAAACATAGGTTTTTAATATAAATCTAACAAAAGTTCAAAACAGAATAAAAATAGTTTTTTGCATATTGTTTAAAATCATTGTATTATCCATATCGAGTAATTCAATTTAGTTTTTTTTTCAGTCGTAATAGAGTCTTTCTCTCGTACATTTGCATGATGTGTATTCATAAAAACATATTACAATTAAATTATTTTGGCACCAGAAATTATAATTATTTTGCAAACATGTTGGTCTAAATAGAATTAATTTTATAAGATAAATGCATATTAGATAATGTCAAGGAGAGAATATATTAAAACAGAAATTTGACGGAATTCTAGAGATGTAGAAGAACAATTGCAATGACAATTATTCAGTAAAGAAAACTGAAACGAAAAAGACGACTTCATTCTGTGAATAATTTAATTTATCCGGTTACAATCTGCACAATATCGCAAAATAAATCGCTTCAAACAAACTGGCAGTGGTGTGCGAGCAAGTTATAAATATTTTTTAATTACAACTTATGGACTGAAAATAAGGGAAATGATATATTTTTATCGTTTGTATAGATTTATAAGATAATATGTGTTGGATAGAAATTAATAACACTTGCGGGTTAGACAGTTTTAAAGACTGTAAATTCAATATTTCTTTGTTTTTCTCTGTCATAAGAACTTCATAAATCATCCAATATATATATGTTTTACATGTAGGACGATTTATGTTGTCTTAAAATAAGGACTCAGATTACAAAGTATCCACAGATTCATTTCCTTAGTTGGTCTTACGTAAAATAAGATATGTCGTCCACAGATAGCACCATACAAATGTCTTAGGTTTTCAATGAATGATATCTTCACAAATGAGACAAAATGATTTTAGAAACCTATCCTTTTCCCATTTAAGGATGACGTTTACTCAGGTTTCAGAAATCAGAAAGAAAATTTTATAAAGTATGATATGTTAAATCAAAAATTGTTCTAAATGGATAAAATTACAAAAATTTACCTCAATATCAAGTTAAAAATTTGATATTTTATTATTTGAAAAAATTTATGCAGGAACAAAGGTATGGTGATGCAGAGGAAATTCGGACTAAATTTTCAAATTTTCATTTTTATCAAAATCTTTAATTTTTTGCAATATAAATCACAATGTAAAGGTTACAAGTTTTTTTAGACATCATTTTGCAAATTTTATATTTCTTAAAGCTCATAAATTATTTAAAATAATTGAATGCTATTAAATAAAGAAATTCAAAAATATGAACAAAAACCATTCCTGGCAACATATCTCAATAATTTGATCATTGACCCTATATAATGTAAATACCATGAGAGTTACGGCAACAAAGTTAATACGAGGCTATAAATAATTTAGAGTTCTTATCAGTCAGATTTGTTAAATATTCGATTAAAAATGGGAAAAAATAATAAATTTGACAGAGGAAATTCGGACAGTAATAATTATCATCTTTTTGGCCAAAACTCAAATCCTTTCTTTATATGAAGCAACACTGTACATTTTCTATAATATTTCATTATTTAAAGAGTTTTGTTGCTTGTAATATTTTGTGAGTGAAGAAAAAATTGGTCATAGTGTGAAAAATTGAGGTATTTCCTGAGAAATACTCAGGTGCCACTAACATGAAAACGAGGTCATTGACCTAGTTATTTGAAATTGAAATTTAACACAAGAAATATAGGTGTACAATGTGCAATAGGTGGTTTTTCGTTCTTATCAGTGGAATTTTTAGTCATCTGAGTAAAGGTATACCTTAAGTTGCTTTTAATATTCTGTCTTCTCTTTTCATTTATTGTATCTGAATAATCAATCATGAAAATTTAAAACGAAACCAGAAAATATCTTAAACAATCATTTCAATCTATTAAAATGTCAAATTGATCACTACGGTATTCTACCTCTTGTATTTACCTCTTAGGGTCTTAAGTTTCCTTCGTATCCGAACTTTTCATGGAAAAATAGTGTTTCTTTTGTCCACCATGGCGTCGTTTATTGACCTAAACCTAGCTTTTTAAATACCTCAAACCTACTGCGAAAAACCATGTGAGCTTTAAAAGAACGTTGAGCTGTATATATGTATTGCACACATGTGTTTAAATTGTTTTCAAGCCCCTTTAAGATTTCCCCTACTACAATTATATAAGATTTTCTTTTGATAGAAAGCGGTCTTTTTTAATTTGCCTTAAAAATAAACATTAAAGAGGCTTAAAAAGAGTTTTACCAAATTTACCATCAGATTCACTTTAATTTTTCGATATTAAGCTTTCAACTATCGTTTGGCACAGAGAATTTTCATTCATTTCAGTTTAAAAATTTGG